GTATATTATAGTTAGTAGAGAGAGAGAGAGAGAGAGAGAGAGAGAGAGAGAGAGAGAGAGAGAGAGAGAGATTAACCCACTATCACATGAGAGCGAATGTGATAATTGATATTTATATTTTGTCAAGCTATGTAGAAACATAAGAAAACCATATGTTTTTTTTTCTGGACAGGTTCATCATGGAGATCTCAAAGGAGTTATTGCAGGTGTAATTGGGATCCAGATAAGAGAGAAGGATCCAAGGAATAACTCCTAATTCTCTATGATTGCTTGAGTTTTGTTTTCTTTACAATGGCTTTTGAATAATTCACAATAAAAATAAAAATGGTTATTACAAATTCAAAAAATAAAAATGGTTATCTCACTGGATGAGTGATCTTTATGACCAAGTCTCTCAAAACCCACTTCAATTCTCTCTCTCTCTCTCTCTCTCTCACTCACAGACAAACAAAGACACACTAAACCCACTATTTTCTTTCTAAAACCCCTATTTTTTCTCTTTTCAAAACTCTCTCTCTCTCAAAGTAGTTAGCATCATAATTGCTTTTTGCCTTTGCTGCATGTGAGAGAGAGATGTACACTGTAAGTCCTCAATTCTAATATTGAGAAACTATGATATTTAATTTGAGATATGTTTTGTTAGTTTATTATAGTGTTCATACTTCATACTCAACTATGATGGTGTTTTCGGGGAGAGTATTAAAGACCTCTTCCTTGTATATGTGTGTGTGCGCTTTTCTTTTAATTATTATATTACAAGGAGATGCCGATATAAAATCACTCCTCTTTTTGTTTTTTTAGACAATGATGCACCTCAAGTATATTTCATTTTCTTAAAAAAATTGTGTGGTTTTTTCATATTACAATGTCATGGTGATATAAAATCACTCCCCCTTCTTGTTTTTTTAATCAATGATGCACTGCAAGTATATTTCATTTTTTTTTAAAAAAAATTGTTATTTCGAATCTAAAATCCAACTAATCACTTCTTGAAAAAGACAAGAGTTCTCTCCTTCGGTTATTTATTTATTTAAGTCATGCTTTAAGCAAAATGATGCTGACTAATGTTGTACTAAGTGCATCGAAACCCAACGACTCCCTGTAATCAAAGGGTATTGTTTTTATAAGGTGCGAAACTTAAGTAGTCAAAGTAAGAGGCATCTCTAAATCTCGCTTAAAGATGTAGTTATGATGACGAAGATTATAATGATAGTTTAAAAATTTATTTTTCCATTAGTTATGAAATTTAAAGCTTACGGTGTAAATTGAAAAGATTTATAAATATTTAAAAAGTTTGAAAATGAATGGTCTAGATAATGTGTCAAAAGATTCACTAGTTTTAAGACTTAAAATAAATTTTTTTATATCTATACATCTCAAGTTCCAAAAGATTTATTTTAGAGTTTTTGGACAACGAAAAATCCTTTACTGATGGATTTCTAATATGATGTAAGGTTGATACCATATAGAAACTTTTTTCATATGAGACACTTAATCATTTGATAATCTTTAAGCACACATACAGCATGCTCCAGTGGGATTATACTATAAACTTATTCCTCATGCAAAAGATCAAGTTAGGAGCATGTTCACAATTTTAAAATTTAAGATCATTGCTCGGTTGGGCAGGAGGAGATCAAGAATCTTGAATTTTCAAACTCCAAGATTTGACGAGTTTTAAACATTGAAAAGGTAGCAAATGTGGATTTTGATAATCCAGGGTTAGGATTCCTCCTTCCTAAACTGGGCCTTAAAATAATTGAATGGTATTTTCAGAGAAAGGAATTTGATTTGTTCTAAACATTTGGATTTGTCTGTCTGAAAATTAAATGAACCATATTCAACCATATGATGCCTTAAATTGAATGCACCGATAATTTTTTCTTTTTCCTTTTTCTTTTGTTTTGTTAGAGATTGATCGGCTGTGGGGGTGGCAACGGGTCGGGTCGGGTCGGGTCCGGCCAGACCTAGACCAGGACCCGGACTCGACTGGACTAGGACCCAACCAAAAAAAAAACAAGTTTAAATATCATGTCAAATGTATACATGTATTACTTAAATATTATAATTTAAATATATAATTATATTTATTTAAATATCAATTAAATATTAGTAAAATATCATACATTAAATATTATTTAAATAGAAATACTATCCGAGTTGGGTCCTTAGGGATCCGGACCCATACCCGATTAGTATTTGGATCCTATATTTGGACCTGGACCCGGACCCAGACCCAGACTTGACCTGGGTTGGGTCCGATCGTCGGGCTAGGTCCATTGCCACCCCTATTTGGCTGGTTTGAGGAGGTTCGTCAAAATTTTGGGTCCTATGATATTATCAGAGGAAAGAAATATGTGGTTGTATGTTCCCCTAGGATCATAGAATGTAGGGCATTCAATGTGGAAAGTTAGAGATTGAAGTCCTTTGTCATGGCCTATGTAAGGTCTTTATCCTATGTAATAGGAAGGTCCCCAGGAATTGGACGATGGGATCAATGGGTGCACGCTTGTATGGTGTTAATGGATTGTTTGGTAAGCAAAGTGGTCCCAACAAGGAGGAGCATGGGTTCATTCCCCTCGTGTCCAGAGTCCATGAAAACTAAGTTTGAAAGATAAGTCAAGAGCTTATATGCTCCCGTGTGAGCCTTAGCAATGGGCTGGGTGGTCAACCATTGGCCCGGTTGATCCAACTCTAACAAACTATAGCCCAGGCCACAAAATCTGTCCCAAGAGTCAGGCCGGGGACAAGCTAACACGGGCTAGGGCTAGGTCACCACGGCCCAAGAGCTGGGCCATGATAGGCAGGCCCGGGCTGGCCAGACCATGCCTTTTTTTCCCTATAGAAACCTGGGTTGCGTTCCCTCCTGGGCCATGGCCAACCGTAGGTAAAACCCTATTGAGGAGTATTTTTGCGACCCTAAATTAAAATTTGCGATGTAGATACTTCTACCTACCTACCAATCTAAATTAAAAAATAATAAAATTCAAACATGTCCGGGTGCCTGAAAATTAGTTTCTTAATATTGCATAGAGATCATCTAATTTTTGGATGCTCAGAACTAAAAATTATACTGTACAGTGTAAAATACATCTTAAAATTTGCCCAAATATGTAGTTCCGGTAGCGAAAACCTCATGATGACTTAATCATTTATTTTCATCCCTAATTATAAAATTTCAAATTCTAAAAATAGTGTAGATCAAATCTATAAGCACTCAATAGTATTGAAAGTGAACAGTCTACATAATATTTAACAAGATAAACTATTTTTAAAACTCCAAATCGATTTTTTCTTTCATATCTAGGCATATCAGGGTCAAGATAATCAATTAAAGAGTTTATTGACGTCAAAACAACATTTTTTGATGGCTTCATAAGGTGCAACTTATTTCTACATTATAAGGTAGACACCTTATATTTTGTAAAAAAAAAAAAAAGAAGAAGTAAGAAGTAGACACCTTATATGAACTTTTTTCTTTTAATTATTCAACCTGACTCGCTTTAAACTCTCCATAATTTATCTACCCCATGCCATATCTGATAATAAGGTCCTACCCTTATGAACAACATGTGACCTCATGTAGAATACATAAACTCTATGTCTCACTCTAGGTCACCTACCCTAAGCCATGTTACAACACAACCCAGTAGGTCTAATGAACCCTTAAATAGCTTAATATGTGTAGAATTGTGACTTCGTATATATAATGGATAAACTATTTCTCTATAAGAATAAACCGCCAAAAGCCCTCTCACATGATCTTACCCTCATTAGGGGACAGATGTGCACTTAAATCCTACTCAAATTTGTTTCACGTTAAATCTCGTGGTCCTATTTTTCTTTCCAACTACCCTACTGTCAAATTTTTAAACAATTTAGGACAAAAATAACTGCAAGTCAGTTAGACATTTGGAGTGCCAAACCGACCGTAGGAAAAAAGCAGAAGAAAAAAAAAAAAAAATGATAGGAAGTCGGTTCGACATTTATTATAGTGACACTCCAAGTGCTGATCCTGTGTCTCCAAAAAAAGAAAGAAAAAGAAAATAAAATTCTACACTTGGAGTGACAAACCGACCCAAGTAAGTTACCTGAGATCAGTTCCACACTCCAAGTGCTTAAGCAACTTCGGTCATATTTTTACTCAAGGTAGATTTAGCACTAGTACCGAATGACTTGTAGTCATTTTGGCCAGACTTACCTAAAAACTATCAATTCGGGGTAGATGCAAAGAAAAACAGTGTCAAAGGATTTGGTGTGAAAGAGTAGTCGGGCTTAGGTCAACACTGCAGCAACTGTGATTTTATAGTACTACGTCTCAGGCTCCATTCCGATGTAACCTTGTCAAAAAAAAGAGAATTTGGTATGAAAGAAAATTTATTAGGGAGTACTAAATTTTAATGAAAATGTTTTGACAAAACTGCATTCCATCAAATTAAGTAAAGCCTCATCTCAAAGTTCAACAAATTCAACAAAAATTGCAACTTCTGGTGTTGGAAACCTTCAAATCGATCATTTTAACCTCGAATATAGTAGGTATGAACAAAATTAAGATTTCATGCTCTAAAAATAATATATTATAATACTTTATCTAGACCATCTATTTTGCCCTAAAAATAAGTATTCATGTATCCACAAAATTTATATCACTTTTTTAGTTTCAAATTTCATATTTGGTATTGAAAATTGATTTTAGAGCCATCATCAAAATTTTCGATATCCAAAGTGGTTATGTATGAAAAATTTTCGATATCCAAAGTGGTTATGTATGAAGGATCTTTTTGGTGGGGTTGCATGGAATTTTTCTTAAGAATTATGGTAATGAGTGTCTTTTACCATCCAATCCAGTAAATGGGCGGTGATGGAGAAATAGAGATGTCCACCATAGATCATTCCCAGCGATGGCACCATTGCCATAGATTTCTAGGAGCACAAATGGACCCATGCCCCAGTGGATCTTAGCCGCTCATTTCATCGACACTATCTCTCCATATTCATTTTCGCGTTCCCCCTCTATCCATTCTCTCGCTTCACGCTAGCAGGAAATATTTCGTCCATTTTTCACTCGCTTTCTCTCTCTCTCTCTCTCTCTCTCTCTCATGGCTTCTCTCTTTCTCTCACTAGCTCCTGCCCCTTCCACCACCAGAAGGCCCCTCTCTCCTACTTTGAATACTGTTTTTTCCCGCCATTTCTGCGGAATTATCTGTCTTCCCACCATTTCCTCCCGCCAAAAGCCATGGATGAATCGTGATGCTTCAAATTTGCGGAGGGTGAAGCCAGTGCAGAAAACCCTATCATTTCATGTTGCCAGAGCAGAGGCGCGGTCAGAGAAGGAGCCCATGGTTCCTCCTTACAATGTGCTCGTCACTGGCTCAAGCAAAGGTCAGTGGTGTTCTCTGTGAACTTTGTAGCTACATTTAGAATGGAAAAAATCCTGGGTTACTAATAATGCAATGGATATATGATTTTGATTTAACATGATTTTAATTTGGTTGTGATATATTTTATTCTGCTAAGTTTTGTCATGGTGTTTCATTCTGCTAGATTTGGAAGGAAAATTGATGGCTCAAGATGCTATCTATATTTTTTTAAATTATTTATTTTTGTGATATTGTTTCTTAATTTGTGAGTTTTTTTTTTTCCCTCCTGCCAAATATCAATGTCAGGGTAAGGGTTTTCATTTTTCAAGATAAAAACTTCTAGCATGGTTAAAGATGAACTCTTATTTTGAAATAAAAAAATACAATTGATATTTTAAAAACAATTCTAACATTGCCAAAAAAAAAGACAGTTAGTTCTTATATTCTCACTTCTAATTATAGCTTTAAATTGATTTTAGTTGTTGTGTTTCATTTTTCACTTCTGTCAATAGTGCATGAAATAGGTTTAAGCTCTTAATTTATTTGTACCAAATTAGCATTTCTTAGTACTATCTTCTAGGGATGCAAGCAGATCGATACATGGCAGGGTCTGAGCTTGATTCAGTGGACTGGCATGGCCACGGCTGGTCCTGGCCATATAGTGTGTCTGCACATGTTGAAAAGGCTTAAAAATGCCGGACCCAACTGCTACACTAGTTTGCTCATAGCTCCCAACCATCCGATCTTGATCGGATGGTTGGGAGTGTGTTAGTAAATTAATTTTATTTTTCTTTTAATAATTGGATTGAGCTGGAATTTTTATGGTGCATGAGCCTCACCCAGTCACAATATATGTGCCTCTCTTCATCCAACAAACTACAGCTCAAAAGCAACAACCAACGGCTAGCGCGAAAGCCACTGCGCTGATGTGCATCCGTTTTCTTGCTTCTTTTCGCTGGTTTGATAACATGCACGTAGTTTATATATATCATCACCATCATCGTTAAAGTTTTTTCTGAACTAATTGGGATCGGCTACACAAATCTTGGTCTGCGATTCTGCTCTATTAAGGGTCATACTCTCAGTAAGGCCATAAGTCCTCATATCTTTTCTTGCTACTTCCAACCATGTCCTTTTAGGCCTACCCCATACCCTTTTTGAGCCTTCTACTTGAACTAGCTCGCATCTCCTAACAGGTGCTGTATTGGGTCTGCAACACACATGGCTAGCCCACTTAAGTTAGCATTGTCTGATCTTATCACCTATTCGTGCCACACCTATATATATATAGCACATATGGCCTGCTCTCGCAAGCGCATCTTGTACAACAACTCTTTTGGGCAAAATAGCTGCTTGGGAGGATTTTTTTTATTTGAAAATTTTGGGACGGCACAAAAAGACGTGGATGAAAGTTGTGAGAAGAGATATGTTGACTTATGTTCTGACCGAGGGTATGACCCTTGATATAGTTGAATGACATAATAGGATTTATGTAGCCAACCCCCAATAGTTGGGATAAGGCTCGGATGATGATGATGATGATGAAATTTTGGGATCCATCTAAGTATCACTAGATGATTATTTTAAATTAAAATTTTGAATTTTGAGTTTTTGAACATCTAGATTTCCCCCCCCAAGAATTGGAGGGTTCCTGTGCAATCTTGGATGTCAATAAATTTTTTTTCCTCTGAGGTTGGTTGCTGGGTCCTAGAGATTACATCCCCAAAATGTGCGATCTAAAAATTATTCCTAGCATGAATTTTGCCCTAGGGAGTAGATGGACAATATATCTCTTGGGAGTATAAAATCTTTTGGGATAAATCTACACACATACACACGATAAGGCCCATTTGGTATGCGTGAACATACTTCCATGGAAGTATCTTCATGCAAAAAACTCCCACACCAAATCACGTGGTTTAGTTCTTTTCATGTGAAAATACTTTCACGGAACTATTTTCATGTGTACCAAACGTGCCCTAAGGCACGCTCTGAACCGTGCAGGTCGCTCATAGCCGTTTTTAAGCCTTCTCCATATATGTGTCTGTGCGCACACACTGGTATGCGTGTTCCTGTCAATCCCGGCTTGGACCTGGAATTGGACCCTATCAGGTCCTGGTCTGTTGAACCCAGACTTGACTTGCTGGTCCACTGCAAGGTCCAAACCTGAACCTAGTTGGGATCGATCCGACCTGATTTGTGCCCCTACTATCTTCATTCTTATCCCCTTTTGTCCTTAAAGTAGGTGCCCAAGAAGTGTTTTTCATTTCGTGAGTATCTTTTAGATTATTTAATACATATCTCTCCACTTGGCTTATTACCTCTTTGCCCAAATTTTTGTAATTGTTGGCATCTCAAATTTTTTCGGTTTTTATCTTGTTTCATGTCATAGAATTATGTTATAGCATGGGCCACTTTTATTATTAAACTTCTCGTCTATGTAATTATCTTTATGGATTCAAATGTATGCAGTGCTAGTCGTTATCTTTTGTTTACAGCTATTATGGACGCATGCAACTGTATTAGGTTTTAATGTGCCTCTTTTTTCTTTCTTGTTATTGCTTTCTTATGATCCATGAGGTGTGATTTTGCACAGGAATTGGATATGCACTTGCTAAAGAATTCTTAAAAGCAGGCGATAATGTCATAATCTGTTCAAGAACTGGTATGTTCTCCGACTTTTCTTATCTGAACATTTAAATCTGAATACCTGTAGAGTCATAGTCATGTAACAATAATAAGATGGGATTTATTGTTGCCTAGTATGAAAGGCACCCATACAACTGTTGTATTGAGAGTAGAACTGTGTTCTATATTATTTTCACATTGTGTCTGTTACAAGTTCTTCTCTTTGAGAGTGGGCTTAGGCAGACGTGGTTAGGTCTGCTGGTGCCACAACAGGGTGTCTAGTGTTCCACCCTCACCAGGTCTCAAGTTAACATTCAAAAAGAAGAAATATCTTCTCTTTGTTTTTTAATTATTTTATTTCATTTTTATGATGTGAGAATTTATCACCACAAGAATTATGTTTGAAGGATAGAATTATGCATCTGACTTTGGTCTGAAAAAGGCTGTGTACTCATATGTGACTGAACATCCATTTACAGTTGATCGTGTAAATGACGTAGTAATTAAATTAAGAGAGGAATTTGGGGAGCAGCATGTGTGGGTACCTATGCTGTAACTTTTCATTTTTCAAATCTTTTAAATGGACTTTTGTTGAAGTCTCACCCTGAAATGGTTTCCTATGGATGTTTTCTCAATATTTCAGGGCACAGCCTGTGATGTTCGCCAAGGGAATGATGTCAAAGCATTGGTTGAATTTGCTCGTGACAAGTTGAAACACATAGATATATGGGTATGTAGAATAAGTATTTTTTTCATTATTTATCTTTTATATATATTTGGAAATGTGTGTTGACATCATCATATGTGATTCAATTGGAACCCCTCTACAAATTCCACGCATCAATTTTCTTCTTCGGAGAAGTGGCTTTGACTTTTCAGTTATAATGAAATGCGAGGTTTGCGATAATATATGTGAATCTTATATTTTTAGAGGGGAAAAAAAAAAAAACCTAGGATTCGTGTAGAATTAATTGCCCTCATGTTATAATTTCCATTGGATATCGTTCATTCAAGTGGGTTACACAGTGATTGTTTGCCTGTTCATTATCAGTAACACTGGATCAACATTTTTTCTTTTTTAGTTTTCCGCATTGTTTCTTAGAGCCTTGTCTATTTTATGGGGATTATAATTGTTCCTTTCACCTGTGAATATGTTGGCAAAATATTATACTGTTGGCAATATCTTACTGGCTACATGTTGGTCTATGCCTGTTACTAAGATGCAGACATGTGTCAATCTGACACAAATGCATTAGAAATGCCGACCTTAAAAATGGCCTCTGAGACATGACATGCTGTCTGTAATTTAGAAAGGGTGGAGAGATGGGATTCTAGTTGAATAAGCACTTTCTTTTTCAAACAAAAAGGCAAGAACTGTATACAGGCGTTTCCAAATTCCTTAGATACATACATATGACTGTACTTTTGTGAGCAATTTCAACAAACCAAGAAGCACTTCTCACAATTCATACCCTTAAGTTCCTATTTGTTATGAACAATTTGGATAGCTCAAGCACTTTCCAGAACATTTTTTCAGACATATGCAGGATGCAATATGCTAAATTACCAATATGATTAAATCATTTTACTTTTTCTTGTAAGGAATATCGTGCTTCCATACCCTAAGTTATCTCAGCATTGCTTGAAGAGTTGCATTGTAATTTTTGTGTACCTCCAATTGCATATTATAGATGTTCTTTATTCTTATCTTAATATCTCTTGTATTATTTGGAAGTAATCTCATTTTCATAGTTTCATTATTAGCTAACAGCCTACTTACAACTTGTTATCTAAAGTAAAGAAAATGACTGTTTAAATATTTTTCATTGCCCACCTCTAATTTTTTGAATGTCAATTGGGAAAAGAGAACAGATAAATAATGCAGGATCAAATGCATACAGCTACAAGCCACTGACAGAGACCAGTGATGAAGATCTTATGTACGTCTTTGTGATTCCTGATTTTTCTTTTTACGTTATTTGATATGCTTAAAAAGATTCTCTGCTTCATGTTTCTGAAATCATATTTCTTTTGCAGGGAAGTTGTCACCACAAATACACTTGGATTGATGATCTGTTGTAGAGAGGTAAATCTGTCATTTGGCTTGTTAGTGATCTTGATAGAATATGATGGTGATTTCTTTGTATACTTTTGTGGTGGCCCACAAAAACCCCTGCAAGCATAGCAGCTTAATAAATTTTCCTCACATGCCAAGGGAACTTGCGTCTTGCCTGACCTACATAATAAAAACAGATGGGCCACCAAACCCCTGCAAGCATAGCAGCTTAAAACCAACCAGGAAACTTTACAAAAAACCAAACACAGCTATGATCATCTTAATCTTTTTAGAACTTTTTTCTTTTTTCTTTCTTGGATAACTGAATTTTTTGAGAGTTCGCATTTCCAGTTTTCTTTCCCTAACCCCCAATGCCCTAATTGGAACTTGAATAGTTGTTCATTATAAATCCATTCACTGGAAAAAGTGAGCTGCAATTCAGGAATGTGTATATCAATGAATATCAATAATACTAACAACCTATAAAATAGGAAATATATGAAAAATGACAATACCCGGCAGCCACCAATTTCAAAAAGATGTATCCCTTGGTAACAGCCTGATGGACATGCCTCGAAAGACATAAATGGTCCACCAAGAGTAGGGTTTTCTCGTGGCTTACCCCCACCCTCTCTTTCTATACACGCAACACATACAAGCTACAAAATGGTATATACATATTAGAATGAAGGAGAGCTGATCATGTGGAGAGAGTGGAGAAACCTCCGCATTGTATTTGTTACTTATTTCTCCCGTGTCCTGCACATTGGTCTAAAGGCAGTCTTTGCTCCACCCTCTTGTGAGGTAGTAAACCCCCACCACAAGCTAGAATCAGTGTCTGTACAAATGTGGAACACATGGATTCTTAGAGATGGACATCTCTTGAATGCACATTGTATCACAGTAAGGCAGCAACCATTCAGTTGGGAGCCTTCCTTTCAAAATTTGTTCTGCATACTTGATTTACAGTTTCAGATTGTATTGTTTTTTTTTTTCTTCCTTTTTTTTTTTTTTTTTTCTCTGTTGGCTATTGAGGTAGGAAAGCTGTCTAGCTGAACTGGATTGTGGTCATTTAAGATATCTGTGTGGCTAAGGTTCAAGCTGGTGGTTCTTCCAAATTTCCACTGTCCTGTCTTTTCTTTCTTTCTTTCTTTCTTTCTTTTTTTCTTTTTTTTCTTTGGTATGCTGGCGATCCCAGCCATTTTAAAGGGAACCCAAAAGGGTGTTGGCTGTTGTAGGATCACTCTTAATTACTCTTCCTTGGCGAGCTTGCTTATTTTATTCTGTCTTCTATATAGGAATCCAATGGTCGGTGGAAGTGGTGATGGAGTGGATGTTTAGTGTTGAGGGACTGATGGTATAGGTTTCCATTTGGATTAGTTTATGATTTGCAGGAATCAGGCCTGGGCCTGCGTTGTTAGCAGTTGAGGTTAGCAATGCTAGATCTCAAGCTTGATTCCTACCACTAAACTGCCATCATCATCGTCATCATCCAAGCCTTATCCCAATTATTTGGGGTCGGCTTCCTTCCGCTAAAGTATCCCCAAAAGATAGTTTTATGATTTGCAAAATGCTAGTAGTTTGTTTTGGCACATTGGTATTTAAATGGATACTAGGGGAGGTTTATAATTCCAAGGAAGGAAGCAAGTTTTTCTTTCGGGGACTCCATGGGGAGGGAAGATAAGGGAATGGATGGGAACATGAGGCAAATTGATTAGGTTCAGGGGGATGGAAGCAAGCTTAGATTGGATCTGGACCACTACGTAGTGCAGTTAGAGGACCTTGGCATCTTGTCAGTTTAGTATCTTAGGCCTAAGGAGGTAACAGCTACCTTTTTACCAAAATTTAGAGACGAACAGGTACAGTGAACCATTCAGCAAGCTTTTTCTTTTTCCTTCTTTTCTTTTTGGGGTTGTACTATGGGGACCCTGTCTACTACAAGGTGCTCTTGAGTAGGAGATTCTTTTTTCTGATTTAATGTATATATCCCGTGTCTCCTTCTATTTTTGTTTCTTTTCTGCATCTGATAAGAGATTATTTACTGCTTCAAATAATATAATGTTAAACTACAGGCTATAAAGATGATGTCCAGCCAACCTCGAGGGGGTCATATTTTCAATATTGATGGTGCTGGTTCTGATGGAAGGCCAACGCCTCGGTATGATAAGCTCTAATCAACTGCAGTTTCGAATGTTCAACTGTCGAATTTGTATTATTTGTGACCAAGGCATTTTCTTCTGAAGTTTAATGAGGACTACCGTTGCTTTATCTTGTAAGCTTGCAAATGGTATACCATGTTATCCGATTGGATTTGGTTTACTTGCAAAATAGACTTAATGGATCATGTTTTATTGGAAGGGTGAAATTTTATTGTCTTCTATTAACTATAAAGGCCTTTAATATCACTTAATGAATTGATATTGTATATTATAAGGCCGTATACTTTCTGCACAAGCAGATCACTATTACCCCTACCAGTCATATGTGAAATCAGGTGGATGAGGTTCACTTTTTTTGCACAATGTTTGAGAAATATTTTGTCAGACTTTGTGCTCAGCTAATGTCATGTCCTCAACCATCTGACTTCACATCAGACAACTGGGGCTGATTGTGACCCTCTTGTACAAAAATTAAATGGTCTTATTGGATATCGTCCCTGATGGATTTAGCATGACTACTGTGTATATTTGACTTTATCCAGTCAATATGTGTATATTTGACTTTATCTGGTCAATATGTTCAATTGGCTAACCTTTTTGTTGTGAAATGCAATCATGCATTAATCGAAGTAGGAGATTATTTATTTTGTGTTTGAACATTTTTATTTTCTTTTTTTTTCCATTTTGCTTTGTACACCCTCTGGGACTAGTGGATCCTTGTCCCATTGAGAGAAATCCTAAATTTTTGCCAAGAGCAAGTTTGCTCAGTCATTTGTGTAGTATTATTAGTTTATGAGTAGGACATTTCTCTCAATGTTCATGGATCAAATTCTTTAAAATTCTATGTAACTTAGCAAAATTTGATCTATCTGTCTTAATCGTACCCAGAGAGTTTCTTAATTTTTCTACATGAGCCTACACATGCCTTCCGTTTTTTTCTCTAGTTAGGCACCTAAAAAGTATTGCTAACCTATTAGTTATCCTATTGGCTAGTCATTCAACATGTGTTCTCAGAGCTATATTTACGCATTTGAGTGTATGGTTCATCCGAAAAGTAACATAAATTCAGTCAACGTAGAAGTATGCCAGAATTTGAAAGCGCTAGCTTTTTTAATGAGATACTTGAAGAAGCTGGCTGGTAATTATCGAGGATTGTTCACCTAGACAAATGTGAGATAAATACACATTTATTGTATTTCCTTTTTCTTATTGCAGTGCATCAAAGTTTTTGCTTGTGATTTTACCCTTAGAATTATCATTTCTGCTAGAAGTTGGTTTTTATCTAGCTAAATTACATTTCAACACAGTAGTTGAGTTATAGTAATTCCATCGAGGCAAATGGGCTCAGATTTCTTTCCTTGAAGGCATCTCTATAGTTGATGGTAAACATTTATATTGTCATATTTATGATCGAGTTGAACAGTTATCAATAAAGAGTTTTACAATTATTCATTTCTTTTATAATAATTCATGCTTTATTATGCACTTTAGATTTGCAGCATATGGGGCAACGAAACGCAGTGTGGTGCATTTGACAAAGTCGTTACAGGTAAATTTCATCAAATTTAGAAGATGCTATGCTGTTCTTATAGAAACATGCTCGTGCATATTGCATTTTTTATTTTGGAGTGCTTTTGTTAGACAAAGTTAATTGTTTCTTTAATCTGTCAAGTACTGTTGGTTTCTTTTCTTTTGCCCTTTTTGATCAACGATTTTATCAGTTAAAGGAAAGTGTAACACAAAGATTGAGAGAACCACTGACTAAAAATTGTTGATGCAAATAAACCCAATTCTGAACAAGGAATTGCTTGGGGAATGCTCTTCAGTTCTATCTATATGTCCTATGTTTGGAGTGTTGTCTCACTCTTGCTCTCGACTTCCGTGTTGTGTTGTTGGACACAGTTTGTTGTTTATCTAGGGCGATGTGCTGAGACTCGCCTCGGCCAGGGGACTCCCCCCTCAGCTGAGTCGTACACAGGGCATGAAAAGCCTTAAATAAATTAGGAAAAAAAGAAAGAAAAATTTCCAAAAAGTAAAAAAAGTTTGTGAAAGTAAAATAAAACCAAAATTAACTTTAAAGAGTTAAAATAAGGTTAAAAAGTGAAGAAAAAACGGATTTCTAAAAAAACTGATTTACACCTCGGGTTATTTAAAAAAATCAAGAAAAGGGAAGATATAAAAATAGATATTATGGCAAAAAACTCGCCAATCTTTGACAAAAACATCTAATCACATACAAAAAAAGTATAGAACAATCTCACAATTTTTACAATTTTTTTTTTGAATTTTTTGAATATTTTTATGTTCCCTAGTTTTACACACAATCTAGGGAAACTCGGCATCACCCATAGGGTGAGGCCTAGTTACTCGTCCAAGTTGAGTGGACTCCGGCAAGTCATGACACATGGATTTAATGTATCAAGTTATGTTAGTGTCTTTACTTTTCTTTTTCTAAGGAATAAAATCAGCAATAGCAAAAGAAAATATATATATATTAGAGCATCTCGGTGGCAAAATTAAATGCAATTCAAGAAATGTAGCTATTCTACCACTAAGTTCCTAAAACATAAAAAATTTAATTGTATTTAGTGAGCCTTATAGTATCAGCAAATACTCCTGTTGATCTGAAAAGTTTTCAATGTCATGGGAAGGAAAATGCCAGGGGCCATTTTGCTTTATTTGTTCTTTCGCTAAATTTGGGGCCCTCCATGTAGCCCAGTGTGTTGGAGGAGCTCTAAGTCTCTTACCCTTGGTTGCAAGTCATGCCATACTTGCCAATCACGTATAATTTTTTCTTTTTTTAACAATTTGTTTGAAAAATGGTACTTAAATGGATCTAATTAGATGACTTGATAATAAAGCGAAATACGGTCTGTTGTGGATGTTCTGCTCTGAATACTGGATGTTCCGCTCTGAATACTGGATGTTCCGCTCTGAATACCAGTTTCCTCGTCTTATGTGCTGCTTATCCTAGCAAAGTTGCGAAAGATTATGATTGTTTGTTGTTTCTTTGAAGCATAGATTTATTGCTGATGTTTAGACTGGCCTGTCACTAATTAAACTGTTATGCTGGTGTGTACTAGGCTGAACTACGAATGAATGAGGTTAAGAATGTTATGGTGCATAACTTATCGGTATGAATGTAGTTATTATTTTTGAGGTTGCCATTATTTTAGTCCGCTTTTTTCTTTTTGAGTTTTAAATGGTGACTTATTTATATGATTTTGTGGTCTTGTAGCCAGGCATGGTTACCACAGAGCTTCTCATGTCTGGGGCGCTTACAAAACAGGTGGTACCTAAGACACCTGATTTTTCTTTCGATTTTTTTCAATGACACATTCTTTTTCTTTGTAGTCCTCTTTTAAAATGTTTCTGTATTATGATTGAGTAGTGATATGAGTTAGGGTGTTTTTCATGCTTGAATTGCAGGCAAAATTTTTCGTCAATGTTCTTGCGGAACCAGCAGAAGTGGTGACAACTCTTAAGACCTTTCTATTGTTATATTTCTTTGGCCGCTGTATTTGCAAAAGTACTCTAATGTCTTTTATTATCAATATAAAATTTGATGACAAATATTCAGAAGTAGTGGGACTCTAGTATTGTCAAATGTTAAAAGGGAAGGGGCAGTGTTATGTTTGATTGTTTTTAGTTGTTTATGTAGGCTCAGTGTTGAGAATAATTAGATTTATATTTGTTTGTTCTTGTATTGAAGTCCTTTGGGACTTATTTTGTCTTTTCCCTTGCATAAAGGGAAACTTATATTATTAATATAAAAGTGTGTAAGTGGGACGTGGTGGTCATAGAGAAACAACTGTGACCCTACTCACCTCTCTTCCTCCTTACACGACACACTCATCTCCCTCCTCCATCCATCCCTCTAACTTTCTCTCTCCTTCTAGATCTTGCTATCCCTGTGACTTTTTGATTTCGTTGCTGCATTTTAACTTTAGGTCCTTCTATTATGACATAAACCATTTATTTCTATTAATGAAAAATTTCTACAATAAAAAAGACTTTTTGGCTATTTTATGTACTGAATGTACTGCACATTGGATCTTGAATTGCCATTGATGTTTAGATGGCTTCTAAGATGATAGGAGATAATGATTATTGTGGATTAGAGGAATAAGTTATTCACAATTTGGACTGCTTCTGGTTGTTGTGATGCTGGCTTCTATTCGCATTTGGTTGCATGCATAATTCTGATGTTTGGTCACCAGAGCTAAATTTCAACTCATAGAAATCACTATTTAATAAGAGGCTCAGATTACCTTCGAGGTCCTTATCGTACTTATTGTGTTTTAGATAATTTCTTCAAGTATGTTGCTCCCATGTTAATATTTTGGGTGAAATCCTTTTGACCTTTCCTTTTTAATGATTGAATCATTTCACTGCAGGTTGCAGAATATTTGGTCCGATGCATTAGATCAGTTGTTAGCAGTGGAACTATGCGACCTACTTATATTCGCTTCCTCACTGGATTGAAGGCATACTCACAGATATTTTCAGTAAGAAAGCTTATTTCAAATATGTATATAGTGGAAATCAATTTCAGAAAACTGCTTACCCAAAAAAGAATTGGAAAATAGGAAAAAACATAAAAATAGGAAAATATTCAGAATAATTAAACAAATTGATGAGCAATTAATTCATCCAATTGGGTTTTGGAAATGGTTTATGGGAAGAGAAGAAATGCTGTGTGTACCTCTAGCATTATATTAGTACATCCGTCCATTCCCTGCTGGACTAACCAAAAAATGTATACTAGTACATCTGTTGACTGATCAACCATGTTTCATGAATGTCCTACGATCAAGAATCAAGCTTTTGCATTTGCTGATTTTCTCACCATCAGTAGGTGTTGGTGATATGATAATGGCGTACTCCAAAAGCCTTCTGTTATGATGAATATCAGATTTAAACCATCACTGCTACATACACACAGGAATTTTCTGTTTACTTATAATGGGAACTTTTCCAACTGCACTTCTATACTATTTTAACTTCAGATTTATGGTAGTTGGGTATGATTCTAAGATTCTAGTGTTCAATATTTTGATGTAATGTTCACATTTTTATGAGTAGGATTTAGGTATGAGATTTTACAAGAAATCATGAACCTCAAATTTGAGATAAACTCAAACTTGGTTTCAAAGGAAGGCAAACCCTGCAACCCTCTCTCTGCATTCTTGTGCTTTCAGATCTTCACATTCGTTTTTATCAAAATATAGTTGTTAGTTGACAGGAGCTTTGATAGAATGGAAAGAATGTGTTTGTGCACCCTGTTCTGAGTACTCTAAGAGTGGTCGATATAGAGGCCTGGGACATGGACAGTCCCATTATAGGCGACTGGTTCCTGAATGGACGAGTCAACATGGGTGGAGTAGCCCCAAGGAACCTTTGTGCTTTTAAGTTTTGCTTTGTTGTTGATTATGAGTCTGAACTTTTTCTCTTTTTGTTGCAGAGACTTGCATTTGGTGCTAGGAGAAATAGGTACTTGCTTGAAGATTGAATGGAGGTTTGCATTGTGGGATTTGAAATGTTTTTCTTCCATGATATCAATTATTTTGGGCAACTGGCCAACACATTTTATGTAAATGTTGAGCCCAGTCCAAAACCAATTCCACGTTTGTGCATGTCAAAGTGTAATCTGAGTATCGATCTTCTTAGTTTGAAAATTTCTCTAAATGACCAAATAAAACCAGCCAAACTGATTGAAGATCGAATAAACTTAGTCATCTAAGTCATTCTTTGACATGAGTTATGGGTTTTTCTACATCTAGAGTATACTTGGGTGCAACAAGATACACAAGGGTTTGGACTTCACGCCTTACAGCATTTCTTTTGTTTCCATGGATTAAAGTTATTTGCATGATTAAGATTAGGGAAAATGGACAATAAGACTATTTATTTTTGGTATGCAATGGTGACAAGAATCACTATTCATCAGATGTAGAATTGGCAGCAGTGGGTGTCCCATCGATTGTGCTTAAAGTTCGATAAAACTTCTCTTGGAGTTCATGGGGAGAATGAGAGGACCCCTTATGTCCAATTTTACATTTGATGGTAATGGATGATTATGATGTTCTTTTACTAAAAGATAACCGTTTTATAAAATGCAGCGATCCCTTAACATTAATTCATGTTTTCAAAGATGTAAATTTATTATAATTACTTTTAGTAATTTGATATCTGAAGCAATTCGTTGATCCCATGGGATTTGAACCCAAGGAATTTTAGGACACCAAAGGTTTGGGACCTGTCCTCTTCAACTACCGACCAGCTTTAGAAAAGGAAAAACTTCAGACGGCACGTTATGTGAGCTTGAAAAGTAACACCCTAAGCATATGTTTGGATGTATTTTTTATAGCTATGAATGCACTATTTCAATAAAATTAATTTTGATAATTATTTTTTGTTAAGTAGTATCCATCAAAAAATTATTTGAGATGAACTTATAAGCGGTTTTACTTGTAAATTTGCCGTTTCAAAAAAGTACTTTTACTTTATTAAAGTAGTTTGCTGAAAATTACATGTTTTTATTTAGAAATAGCCAAAAATAACTGAAAATCACTATAAAGTTAAATGACGGTCAACATAATACAAGATATGTCCCCAACAGTTAACAAAAATAATATTTTCAACATAATATTAATTTAGGTAAGATAATTTAGTTGAGATAAAACTAATTGGCATCCAAATAAGCCCTAAAATTGAACTAGACTGGCTAATTTTTGGACACCCGAAATTGAGCGTTAAACGAAACTCAAATTGAATTTTCTTATGAAAATTATCATCCCGCGATTCTGGAGTGGGTTTCAAAATTTGAGATCCAACAAATTTCCCAAGTAGTTTTTTCACGTGAGATAGAGGTGGATAGAATGCTCCTGCTAGAGCATAATGTAAACTTGCTCCCTCACAAAAATCTCGGGGACCCTACGGTTTAGAATGTTACTTAGTCTTAGATCACTCAATCTGGATTGGTTGAGTCATCATCCTTATTGTGGTCATCTCTATTTTATCCAAACATTTTGTAGTTTGCTACACAAATTATATTTTGTTATTATGCTCTATCCAGGGCTATATCTTAAATTATACTATAAGTTCTTTTTACCTTCTCACTATTTCTATTGATGTTCCAGTATTGTTCTAAGGTGATGTGCATATAGCCAACCCATCTAAGTCAATTTTTTTTCGTCTTATCACCTATTGGAGCCACGTTTAAGCTTTTTCGGACGTATTTATTTTAGATTATATCATTTCTTGTCTTGTCACTTATCCATCTCAATATTCTCATTTCAGCTACAATCATTTAATGGATATCTTGCTTCTTGACCACCAAACATTCTGTCCTGTAAACATGGTTGGTCTTACAGACGTTTTATAAAACTTTCTTTTTAGTTTATTGATAGGCGACGATCATATAAAAATTCAGAAACACATCTCCACACCAACTTCCTCGGTCTCTCCATTCTCATGGATTATCGACTTTATATATTTAAAATATTCTCTTTTAAATATTTCCTGACCATCAATATTAACTACTACCTTATTTATCTACTCTTAATATTATTAAACTTGCAATTTCAATTTATATATTTTGTCTTAGTACTGCTATAAGATTGGCTGAAGTCATAAAAAAATATTAAAATAAACAATATTGAGCAATTATGAGGGTTTTTTTTTTTTGCCGGGGTGGAGGTGGAGGTGGAGGTGGGGCGCACGGATCTCCCACCCTCGTTATCTCACTTGGATTGGTGATTCATGTTGTGGATCGCTATATTTTAAAACTCTCACAAATAAAAAAAAAAGGAAAGAAACTGAGAGGGAGAGAGTGAAATATTTTAAAACTCTCACGAGGAAAAAAAAAAAAAAAGGAAAGAGAGAGAGAGAGAGCGAGAGGGGGTGGGGTGGGAATACAAAAAAAGGTACCCTAATAAGGAATACCCCAAACGCCCCAAGCTTAATGAGAGAGAGAGGGAGGGAAATACAAAAAAGGAAAAGGTACCCTAATAAAGAAGGGTGTGGTTTGTATAAATCCGAGGCTCTAACAATCAAAGTAAAGCACACCTTCACTTTCAAATGGTGTCGAGAAGTGTGGTTTCAATACAAGAAATCTTTGTGATAGCCATAAATTATATTTTCATCTTTAATTATAAAAATTTAAAGATTAAAAAATAGTGTGGATGGAGCTGAATTATGAAAACTTTAAAATTGAAAGTCCAAATATGCATGATAAGACTCACTATTTTCAAATTTTGAAATCCATTTTTTTTTCATGCCAATACATCTTGAGGTCAAGATAATCAATTTGATGATATACTTGGACATCAAAACAGCCTCTTCTAGTGAAATTTTGTGAGGTTGGCTTTAACTTGATTGTTTCGAAACTCACACGTATATAAACTTTTTTCAATAAAGAATACCCCAAACTTATTGTTATCATTAAGATAGTTTTTGTTTTGGACTTCGTGGTCCAAGGTCTAGACAAACGGGACCTTAAGGAGCCTTCTAGAGCTGAGCTAGGAGAGCTTGACAAGGAAGGATGACTCAATGAAATGTTCATAACCAGTTGAAAGTAACATTGCATTACCAGTGATTTAACATCCATGGAGGTCAATTCGTGTCTTTGATCAAAGACATGTTGTAGACGTCCAAATTCGAATCATTTGAGTGAAGACCTCCAAATGAAAACTGCCATATGCCTCACTATCAAAGAAAAAACAAATAAGCATGTCAAGGCCAAGCTTTTTAACAAGTTTTGAAATTATAAACCCTGTCATTGAGATTTGGAAAATTTTTATATAAGGTTGCAACTCCAAAATGTAGAATTAAGGTTTACTTGAAAAATACATCAGAAAAGGCTGTTTTAATGTTAAAAATATTTTTTGATCATCTCTTTATCGAGATGTATTAATATGAAAATAATAATAATAATAATAATAATAATAATAATAATAATAATAATAATAATAATAATAATAATAATAATAATAATAATAATAATAATAATAATAATAATAATAATAATAATAATTTCAAGTACTAAAAATAGTAGCTATCTTGCAGCATATTATTTGTTCCGTTCCATTTTACAAGTATTTCTATATGTTTATTGATCATTATATGTAT